GTGAGGGGGGGGGGGGGGGCGGCGGGGTGAGGACGGACTGGCTGGAGTCTAATTACAAGATCACTTGTAAAGAAACAAATGGTTTCCTCTTTTCTTCATTTAGCCCTGCTTGTAAAAAGCAGGGCTAAATGTAGAAAACAAATTACCCCTCGGCGCCCGGAACTCAAGGTTCCGGGCGTCGGGAGACTTCAAACCTGTGCCGCCCCCCCGAGGCCGGACCTCGGTGGCCTTGTCGGGAATCCGGCCCTGCCTGTATGGCAGCTTAGTGAAAGGAGCCCCTTGTGCACACTGTGAGAAGCACTGTGACCAATAATAACTCTGACCACCACTGAGAGGAAGTGTGCAGGACCAGAGCACTCAGACAATGGCCATGGTTGTGCTCCTCAGAGCTCCTATTAATGGTTGCATCTAATGACACAGACATGTTTGGATGTCCCTCTATATTACCTGTGGGCAAGGGTCATGTATCTCCAGGCTGGTCATCCTCCCGTCCACAGTCATCTGTTTGGTGTACACACATTCTGAAACAAAACCAGATGATTGCAATCTAGATGCATCCCATCTACTCCGGGAAATGACTGATTATGATAAGAAACGGTCGAAACCCAGAGCAAGGCCAGCACAGAGTGCCATTCACTCTACCCCAATACTTGTCCTGAGCCTGACCCTAAAACTTATCATCCTAACTCTGACCCTATTCCTGATCCTATTGCTTACCCTAAGCCTAACCCTAATATTTATACTAACTCTGACCCTATTCCTGATACTAATGCTTACCCTAAGCCTAACCCTAAAACCTATCTTCCTAATTCTGACCCTATTCCTGATCCTGTTATTTATCCTAAGTCTAACTCTAAAACTTATCATCATAACTCTGACCCGATTTCTGATCCTGTTATTTATCCTAAGTCTAACTCTAAAACTTATCATCCTAACTCTGACCCGATTTCTGATCCTAATATCTTATCCTGAGCCTAACCCTAATAGTTATTATCCTAACTCTGACCCTAATCCTGATCCTAATTATTGTCCTGAGCCTAAACCTAATGCTTATCATCCTAACTCTGACCCTATTTCTGATCCTAATACTTACTTTGAGCTTAACCCTAATGCATATCATCCTGACTCTGACCCTAATCCTGATCCTAGTACTTACACTGAACCTAACCCTAAAACTTACCATCCTAACTCTGACCCTATTATTGATCCTAATACTTATCCTGAGCCCAACTCTAATACTTATCATCCTAACTCTAACCCTGATCCTAATTCTTATCCTGAGCTTAACCCTAATGCTTATTATTCAAACTCTGACCCTATTCTTAATCCTAATATCCTCAGTCTAACCCTAATACTTATGATCCTAAACTGTAACCCTTTTTCAGATCCTAATACTTAGCTTGAGCCTAACTTTAATACTTATGATCCTAACTCTAACGCTATCGCTAATACTTATCTTGAGCCTAATCCTAATACATATCATCCTGACTCTGACCCTAATCCTGATCCTAATACTTATCATCCTGACTCTGACCCTATTCCTGATCCTAATACTTATCATACCTAATGCTTATTATTCAAACTCTGACCCTATTCTTAATCCTAATATCCTCAGTCTAACCCTAATACTTATGATCCTAAACTGTAACCCTTTTTCAGATCCTAATACTTAGCTTGAGCCTAACTTTAATACTTATGATCCTAACTCTAACGCTATCGCTAATACTTATCTTGAGCCTAATCCTAATACATATCATCCTGACTCTGACCCTAATCCTGATCCTAATACTTATCATCCTGACTCGCACCCTATTCCTGATCCTAATACTTATCATCCTGACTCTGACCCTATTCCTGATCCTAATACTTATCATCCTGACTCTGACCCTATTCCTGATCCTAATATGTATCCTGAGCCTAATCCTAATATTTATTATACTAACTCTGACCCTATTCCTGATCCTAATATCTTATCCTGAGCCCAACACTTATTATCCTAACTCGAAACCTTTTTCTGATCCTAACACATTATCCCAACTCTGACCCTATTCCTGATCCTAATATCTTATCCTGAGCCCAACACTTATTATCCTAACTCGAAACCTTTTTCTGATCCTAACACATTATCCCAACTCTGACCCTATTCCTGATCCTAATATCTTATCCTGAGCCCAACACTTATTATCCTAACTCGAAACCTTTTTCTGATCCTAACACATTATCCCAACTCTGACCCTATTCCTGATAACATTACCCTAATCACCTTAACCACCCCTCTCAGTTATTTTTTGTACCTTCTGTGCCTCTACTGCGAGGTTTTCACCTCACTTCATCCCATGCTGGCATCTTTCACCAAGACAGTAAGTGAGAAGTAATCTTTCAGGGGTGCTATCATTTCCCCCTCCATCCAAACCTTAAAACAGAGCAACCTCCAGGTACATTTGCTCTTTATTTATTCCTAGCTGTGTATAGCTATGTCTACCCATTGAGGTTGTCCCTGCAGATTACATTAGAGATGTCCCCACAATGTACAGATATGTTTAGACTTTAGGAAGCACTTCCCTATATACATATGCCAAACTGACAACACATATGTGAGAATTCTGCTTATTGCAATATTAAAAACGGGCTTTAAGATCAGGATTTGAGCTAGTATGAGGGTCAGGGTTAGGTTTAATATCAGGGTTAGGGTCAAGTATAGCAATAGGGTAAAGGTTAGGGTTAATGTCAGAAATGGGGTCAACACTGACAGTAACTTTGACCTTAAACCTAGCCCTAACCCTAAATCTAATCCTGACATTAACCCTTACCTTTACCCTATTCCTAAACTTGACACTAGCCCTGACATTAACCCTGACCCTAATACTAGCTCAAATCCCGATCTTAATTCTAATACAATCCTGACAATAACCTTAAGTCTGACCCTAAATGTGACCCTAATTTTTCATCCTGATTAACTTAACACTGATTTCACCCTGACCCTAATCGCAGCTTTAACCCTAATCCTTACCGTGATCTTAACCCTTATCCAACCCTATGATAATTCTGACCCGATGTCCTAATGCTTTGGGTAGTCTTAATAAATCTCCCCCTCCAGCAACAAGAAGGAGGGTGTCAGTTTTCTTTCTTACCAGAGTCTGAGGCGTATTCACTGATGTACCGTCCAGTGAGGAAGCGAACAATGAGAGCTGAATATAATACAACAAAAGAGAAAATAAACCAGCAGCTAACAAATAATGAGAATCTAGCAAAGCAATAGTTCAGTTCTGTGTGTGTAGACGTGTCTGGGGTGATTCTCAGGGAACATCTGGGTGATAGAGAACTTTCTCCACCTCTGATGGTGACACTTTTCTCTTAGACATTTTCATGTTTTTTTTATCTTGTGTAATTAAGCATGGAACAATTTGGAAGATTATACTGTGAACACAAGACATTTAGCACTTTTTGGATTTGACGCTTTAATAATGAGACATTTCAGTGAATATTCATTTAAACAGCGTTACTCTTTTCTTTTTTCTTTGTACAGACAGACAAACATATATTGGGAGTTGGTCTGCACAGAAAATCAGTCAGCCAATGGCAGCCACTCAGAGTTACAGAGTAACATAGTAGGTGAGGTTGAATAAAGACCAAGGTCCATCCAGTTCAACCTATGTGTGTGTGTGTGTGTGTGTGTATGTGTGTCTGTATATATATATATCAGGGACGTCCTGAGGTCGGGTGTCTCCAGACCGGGTGACACTCCTCGGTGTCGTCATCGCGCACGCGCGACCATCTGATTGACGCCTGTCTCCGGCCATCTTAGTGATAGACGCCGGGGAAGAGAGGGGAGTTCACCTGGCGGGATGAGGTATGCCTCCAGGTCCCCTCCTCTCTCCTGACACTGTCGGGCTCTCTGTCCATGACCGAGTGCCCGACTTTTTAGAGGGGGTGACACCAAAATGACTGTTAGTCATTTTGGTGTCACCCCTGCATTGGTGTCACCCGGGTGCGGGACGCACCCCCCTTGTGATGCCACTAATATATATAGATGGATTTAATACCATATCCTAGTATATACAATAACTGAAGGAACTCATCTAGAAGTTTCTTGAACTTATCTACACTACCACCGAATACCGCTGCCTGTGGAAGGGAATTCCATATTCCATATTTTTACTACTCACACCCCTCTCTTAAAACCTCTTATTATGTCCGTGTGTTCTCGGAGAAAACACCTTGCTTCAAATATTGTTGTCCCCATTGATGATTTTGAAGACTGCAATAAGGTCTCCTCTTAAGCGCCTCTTTTCTAAGGAGAATAAGTTTAATTGTTGGAGGCTCAGGCCTTCTTTGAGTTCTTAGTATATTATCTTTTCAGGTTGAATGTAATGTCATGTAATACCACATTATGCCACTAGATGGAGCTGAGGAGTTCAGGAAAGATACAATTATTTATATGCGTCTCAGCTCCACCTAGTGGCCATAATGTGGTATTACATCACATTTAACTTGAAGATAAAATATACTAAGAATGTTCGTTTTTGCCTCTATGTGCGCAGAACGAACATTCATACAGATTCACCGGGCGAATGGCTCTGCAAATTGTTTATAAATAGAACCTAAGTAAATACTTAAGTTTTTCCCATGGTGACCAATCAGATTCTTCTGTTCATTTCCAAACCTGTGCTGGAACCTGATTGGCTACTCTCTGTTTCCCAGTTTTAGTTAAGTGTTACAACTTTCACACAAAATAAAGCTGTGTATACACGCTTATTTTTTTCTCAGGCTGAATCAGAGAAAAACATTAGGTTCCCTCATCCATGCTAAACACCGTGGATGGCATACTGTCCCCTGACGACTATTGTATTCAAACAGCCGCAGGAGCGCAGTTGCTTGAACACCCGAATGGTGACTGCAGTTGACTGGCTGCGGTCAATGTTTGGCTGATAATTTTACACCTTGCTTCTTTGATTTTCCAATTGGAGTTTGTCAAGCTGCGTGGTGTCAACAGGGCCACCCATTGCTTGAATTTTGGAACGGCTGAAATTTGAACAGATGTGTATGCATTCGAACAGTGAAATTTGAACAGACATAATCACAGTAGATAATGACCTATTATCACTGATACTTCCGCATGCATCTGATGATCCTGCTCCTCAAAGCTGGCCATACACCTATAGATTATCTGCAGATTTTCTGTGGTCAGATGGAAAAGTGCAACAGATTCCTCCATCTACGCTAAACTGTGTGGATGGAGGAATCTCCTGCCGGGCCAAGCTTCATTATCTTGCTAATCGGCCCCACTGGATCTCAAAATACCTGAACAATGCCGGCATCCAATCATATTGTTCAGGTACTTTGGGAGCCAACGGGGCCGACTAGCAAGATACTGAAGCTTGGCCCAGTGGGAGATTCCTCCATCCACGCAGTTTAGCATAGATGGAGGAATCTGTTACACTTAAACTTAAACAATTAAACTTGTCCCATCTGACCATAGAACATCTGCAGATAATCTATAGGTGTATGGCCAGTTTAAGGAATTACTGGTATTCTATAGGAAACACAGACAGTTGATCTTTCAGACATCTTAACAAATGACAGAAGGATGATAAAAACAGCCAATCCCTTCAGACATGAGCTCTCCCATCTCTCTATTTCTATAGGAAATATTCAGGAAAGTTACCGGATTTCCCAGCTCCGGGGCTGCCCAGGACGGTCAGTTTGATGTCGCACATGCTTCCCCCTTCTCATTGGTCAGCAGATCTCCAGGCTGGATGAAGGATGGCGGACGGTATCTTATGATCCTCTTCACATCACATCCTGGCTGTGTGGAATCTTTGCAGCTGAAGATGTATAAATAGAGGCGACGACGTCACCATCCTGTCCGAGGAGCCTCCCCGATCCCTCAAATCTCCTCCAGAAGTTCTGCACGTCCCAGAACCGGGCACCTTCTATTCATTGCAGAATAATCTCATTGTACAGAGGAGGGGGCTAGGAATCCAAAACGAAACATTTCTCCTAATAGAGACTTCCCTACAGCAAACATAATACAAAAAGTCTTTGATGATTATTCCAGTACACAATTAATTCATGCAAGATGACGATTGTCCCTCATCTGTACTTATAACGTGTTTTAAAGTAAGCTTTCCTTCTTCAAAATATTTTTGAGATGGGTTTGCTGCAAAGACCTAGGTTTTCCAGCATGCTGATAGATCTTGGCAGCCGGTCATTGTTAGCGGATGAGGGCTAGAAAGTCACATTACCTACTACAGGCGTTACCATGGCAGGAAAACTGGCTTTGCACCTTTATATTGTCACATTGTGCCACTCATCTGATAGGATGACTGGGAACCTTTGCTAATATTTATTGAATACGGCTTCAAGTAAGATTCCACCATCTCTACAGCTGGAGGCTAAGACTTTCAGGGCTATTCACAAAAGGGTGAAGAGTTTGGAGAAGGCAGGAGAAGGGAACAATCTAGGACAACATAGCTGAGCTGGAAAGTGAGCTGAATTGGAGAATTTTTCCAAATCAGTTATTTTGTCCTAGATTGTTCCCTTCTCCGACCTTCTACAAACTCTTCACCCTTTTGTGAATAACCCTGTTTGTATTAATGGGCATCTAAACCCAAGAGCAAGATTTTTATATATTGCAGCTTACCAGATGTGGCGGCTGCCTTTGTTTTCTTTTTTCAGACATTTTGATGTGTTTTTCGGTTTAATGCATCCGAATGGGTCTGAATCCAAATATTCGAATTGCATTCAGGAGCTTCTGAATGCCATTTGGATCTGGGAGCCTCAGATTTCGTTTTATGTATATATGGGTCACAATGTTGCTACAAATATTCGTTTGTATTATGGAATACTACTTATACACTATATACATAATACTAAAACTGATGCTCCAAGACACGAATGGAGTCTGAATTTCTGAATAGCATTCAAGAGCTCCCAAATGCCATTCGGGTGTGGAAGCCTCAGCCCTAATATGGCTCACAGACCCGTATTGCTTTCTGGAGCTCCCGAATGATATTCGGAAATTCGGACTCCTGAATGCCATTCGGGTCTAGGAGATTCAGCTTTAGTATTGATATCTGTATATGGTTTTCTGTTGTATTCGCAAACAAATATTTGTGAACTCATCCGAAACTAACGAAAATTCGGATTTCATCTGAACCCGAAACCCAAAATGAATTCAATTTCGGATCCGAATCCCAAAATAACAAATTATTCTAACCAAACTGAATTTTTCTGCAGCTTACATGTCTAGAAATTCTCTGAGGAAGTGACAGACAGATGTTCAAGTAGTTGTCCCCACATTGGATGTTGGTCATCTGGCATCATTGGAAGAACCCCCTTCTGTGATAGCTCTTATGAGGCAGATGAATATCGATATGATGTATCTGACAGTCTGGGATGCCACACAGATCGTAAGAAAGGCAATAACTGTACCATGGCTGCAAAATAAAAAAACCTGTAAGTGAAGGGATGTGTGCCCTAAGCTCTGCTTTACTTCAATGTTTGTAACGCTTTCCATCCTCTTCCAGGATGGATCTGCTCAGCAACTTCCCATATTGTATTATCTGCCATGCACTGTTGAGGAGGCTCCAGGCTACTGAGGGAGTTCTGTCTATTTTGTTAGGCGGTCAACCTCGACTGAGATTGTTATCAGTGAGTTAGACTAGGCTTCAACAAAACAGCTCAGCCATGTTCTAGAAGGGTCCCTCGATCTTCCGATTTGGGTAAAAGGAGAGTCTTTGAAGAGGAATTGTAGGATAAGAAGACTAAGCACCTGTTTTAGAGGTTCCAGGTCTTGTTTCTGGGCTAAGAGCGGGGGGGACAAATTAATATGGAAATCAGGAAGCATCAGGATTTTTTTTTAACAAATCAACAAATCCCAGGCCCCAAGTCGCCATGGCAACTAGAAATTGCGTCCTAGCGCCTGGGCTTTTGTCAGCAACTTTCTCCTTCAGTTCCTTCCTCTGCTAATTGACAGCAGGCAGTGGGTGAGTGCAACACCCAGCCTGCTATGGGCTATTACAATTTGAAATAGCCCATAGCAGGCTGGCTATTGCTCCCAGCCACTGCCTGCTGTGTTTACAATCAGCTGGCTTAGCAGGCAGCTGTCATTCCCCAGCTAAAGCTATTGAAGTGGAAAGGTGACACTAGGGATCTAATAGACCCCTAACGTCACCTTAAAGTGACATTAAAGTCACAAATGTCTTTTTAAGGACTTACCCTAACTGATGCCTTTTGATCCGATCAGCTTCTTCCTTTCACTTGTATTCAGCAATCTCTCCAGTGCTGGTGCCGGTCTCTGAACCAGTGCAGACCCATCTCTTTCTGTCCCACGGTGTCTGTATGATGTGCACGTGCATTCTGCTCCACGGTGTCTCCTCCTCTCCTGGCCAAAGATCTCTACTGCACATGTGCCCGACGCATCTCGAGCAGCTGTGCAAGATGAAGCTTCAGATCTTCAGACGGGAGCAAGCGGCAGAGACACAGGTACGTTTTTACCTTTTTGGTAACTTTTGTATTTAAAAAAAAATATTTTTGCATATATTTACTGCATGCTAGCAGGAGATATATGCAAAAAAACCCCCCAAAAAACCAAGAGTTTAAATGTACTTCTCCAATGTGCTATCACAATACAAAGTTTAAAAAATAAAGTTAAATAACATTTAAAAAAAGTAATGTCCCATGCTCCCCGTGAACGCACGTGTAGCGCCCTCTAAAATGTCGCTATTCAATTTAGAGATACCTGGACTGTAACCAGTCTAGATACTGATTATACAGAGCTCTGCATTCTATAGGTGTCCCTGAGTCTGCTGGATTGATTGCTCCTCCTGTTGCTGAGGAAAAGGGAGCCTTGGCATACAGTGAGGGAGGATCCACCCTCAGGTTATGACTATGCACCTGGCCCTAGCCAATCCCTGAGTAGGATGACTCAGAGGCATGGTTGAGGGCAGGTGATAAAAGGTCTGGGGACATTGTGGAGAGCTCTCTTCCCCTAGGGGCCTCGCCCTAGGAGGACTGTGTGTGATGCAGGAAACTGGCCTGGGCCTCAGCACATGGCAGGTGCTGAGGGACCTAGAGGCCTAGGATACACTGATACTTTGCTGGGCCCATACACGTGGCAGGTGATGGGTGCCTTGTTCTAAGAAGATACTACTACTAAACTGGAGTGCTCCTTGGCAGTTGCAGATGCTGAGGGCACAGAGATTCCAGATCCTGTTGCTACGGAAAAATACCTCACTGGGCCCATACACGTGGCAGGTGTTGGGTGCCTTGTTCTAAGAAGATACTCTCATTTAACTGGAGTGCTCCTTGGCAGTTGCAGATGCTGAGGGCACAGAAGTTCCAGATCCTAAAGAGGAAAATACCTGATGGAAGCTGGGTCAGAGGAGGAGTCCGCTTGTTGAGGGGTACCGCAGAGGAGCTGGTGCGAGCGTCCGTCTGGGACCCACAAGGGAGAGCCCTCACCCTATTCCAGGTATCTGTTCACAGTACTACTACTACTACTACTATTGGTCCCTGGGACCAGATCGCAGTGATTTCGGCCTTAGCGGTTGCTAGGGGAGAAAGCTGTCCTCAGAAGTATTTCCAAATGGCATCCTACAGACCCTAAACCCTCTCTCTCCTATTGATGTTGCAAATAAATACCCTAAAAAGACCCTAAGACTCGAGCCGTTCTGTCCGTGAGTGTCGGTGTGCTGTTGCTGATCAAAGGGGACTGGCAGCTGGAACCAACAGGTAGGAGAACCTATTGCAATATTCAGCGGCTCCTTCGGGGGTGAGCGCTACACACGCATACTAACGGAAACACAAGCTGGGTGCACCTGCGTCCGAAAATGACTATTGTGCTAACACATGTCAGGTATCGCCGCTTACGTCAATTAAAACTGTAATTGAAAATGACTGGCTCCTAACTTTTTTTAGTTGGCTCCTAGATTCAAAGTGGATTTGTCAAGCCCTGACTTAGAGGGTTTGTCGTTCTTGCAGAGTTAGTCCTATGGAACGGAAAGTAACAGAAGAATCTCCTGTTTTATGGCAGGATTGTTCCATTGGTAGCTGGAGTATTGGTAGTCCTGGACCCAGAGACAATCCAGCCCCCAAAGTGATTGTTGTAGAAGCCTGGGATTGTATTGGGTTTTCCACCTTCTCCTGTCTTCTACCTTCAAGTTTGTATTTAGGTGTTGGAAACACATTTAAGGACTGGACCTGCATTCATCGTACACTATACCTCAGTGTTGCTACCTGAGGAAATGGTGCTCTTAGGGTAGAGTACCAGCCAAACCCTAGGCCCTGCTTGGTGGGGGCCATGAAATAAGAACGGAGTCAGGACAGTTCCAGATCGCTAGCCTAGCGGAGGCACAGGTCTTCTTCTTTACATGGGTGCTGCTGAGTGGATGTTAATGATGCTAGAAGAGTGTAATCTTATAGAAGCCACCCACTTCCCCTTGCACGATATAGTCGTAGATGTCCTACGTCTGCCCAATCTCCCACCATCATTATATGCCCAATAAGAAGTCCCAGCCATATTGGAATGACTAGTATGTGAGATTTCACAGATCAGTAGCTAGCAGAAATATAGGAAGTTTTGTCCTTTGCAGGTTAGCAGCTATCCAAGTTCTTGGGAGGTAAAGTGTCTCTAAGCAGGCATGGCTTTTAAACCAGTAATCTATTGTTGAATCTATACATAGGTCTCTAGTTCAAGCTGCCAGCCACCAACATG